AGCTGATGTCCATTATAAGTAATGTTACCAGTTTTCTGGGAGGAAAAATGACAAATCAATGAGGATCCGTTAAGTTAAAATATATAATAAAAAATAAAAATATAAGCCTAATTCATTATTTTAAAAACAAAAATTTCTGTAAAGAAATGAGTTGAAATAACAAAATTGAGCTCAACGCTCTTACTTTTGACTTAGTAATAATTTGGTATTAGTTTAAAAAAGTTAAAAAAATTATGAATTGGTTACTTACACTTTTAAACTTTTTAATTTTGTCCTTAGCACTTATTTTTAAATTAGATACTTCGTTAAAAAAAAAAAACAGAAAAAAAAAAACAATTAATTAAGTGAGTACATAAACATGCCAGTTAGATGGCAGAAGATCAAGTGAAATCATCACATAATTCCGCTCATCAATAAAATTTAGCTTTTATAGTAACATGATGATATACCCAAATATGACAATTATTTCGGTGAGATTTAATTGAGCATTTTAAAAGATTAATGATAAATTTAAAATTTTATAAAATATCAGGGATATATTAAGGAAAAAAAAAATACAGTGAGACTTTGATGGGTATATATATATATATATATAGCTATTTTATTTAAATGAAAATTGATGTGATAATTTTTATTTTATAATTTTCCATTGTTAAAACATTCTATAATTCTAAACCAACCAATAAAAATAATAATGATAATAATAATAATAATAATAATAATAATAATAAATTAAATAAAAAAACCCAACCAAAAAAGGTTTAGCCTCGTGTACAATAAATACAAAGTAGATACCTTTAAATTTGTACAATAAATACAAAGTAGGTACCTTTAAATTCCTATCAAGTTTGCCCGCAAGCGCTTTTAGCAAGGTGGATCTTCCAGAACCCGGAGGCCCCAAGAGCAATGTCATCCTAGATTTTCATTAAACACTTTCAATTATTTTTCTTACTATAAATAAATTACCGTGAATAAATCACTTTGTTTCTATTTGTTTTAAGTTAACATTATTAATTAAAAAAAAAAAGACTTAATATGAATGACACTTTTTTAACCTTGCATATATGTCTATTGAGATTATTTAGGGGATAAAGAAATAGATTATCATTTATGATTTTGATCCCATTTCCCCGGGAAAAAAATATATATTTAGTAACTTTCAAATTTAAAAAGGTATAGTTCTATAAATTTTCAATTTTGAGATTAATAATTCATTGGCATATTAAAAGATTTTAAAAATTAATCTATGTAATTTTGAATATTGTGTAAATTTATAGTTCTGAAAATTCATAACTAAATAGGGATTTTAACTCTTAAAAAAACTATTTTATCTTAACGAAAAAAAAAAGTAAAATATTTAGTAACTTTGAAATTTAAAAAGGTACCGTTCATTCTTTCGCATATTTTAAAAATTAAAGTATGTAATTTTGAATATTGTGTAAATTTATAGTTCTGAAAATTCATAACTAAATAGTTACCCTTAAAAAACTATTTTATCTTACCTTCCTGGTTTCACTAAGCCAGTGACTTCGTTCAAAATTGTTAATGGATGTCTTTTGCTTTTCGTAATTCTCAAACTCGATAGAATATTCTGCATTAACACTAAAATTATTAAGAGGAAGCATGAACGGGAGAAATGGAGTACGAATTGAGATAGCCAATAGATGAGCCAAAGATTAAACAGAGTTGGTTAAAAAGAAACTGTTGTACCTCAATCACGTCGTATGTATAATTTATTAAAGTGGGCAGAGATCTGGAACCGACTTGCACATCCGCGGCCACTTTCAACTTCTCAAATCTAATTTCAACCTTCGGAATCGCCACTCCAGCCCTGGCGTGATTAGAAACTTGTATGAAAATAAAATTACTAACAGATGAATTCAATAAAAATAATTATAACCTAAATGGAAGAACAAGAAGCGCAAGTAGAAAATTAATCAAGAATCGGAAGAACATTCATCTCTGCTTCCAAATCGAAAATCAAGTAAGGCGCTAAAAAGATATCACAAATCCGCGAATTACGTTCGTCAAATTTTTAGCATCACATGTGACCAGGTTTTCAAGTACCACGAATTTATGACGGTTTTCCTAATCACAATGAGGAATCGTTCTTCAAACAACTAAAGAAAATCCGAGATAATCAACAAAAATCTAACGAAATTAACCAGGCGCTAATCCAAAGTTTTCAAGAGAGATTTATCAGAAACAAAATAATTTCAATGGCGATCACCTATCGAGGCGTTCTTTAATTCCAGAAAGCAAGTTGAAATTATCTTGATCCTCTGTTGCCAATGCCTTCTTGACAACGAGTTCGCGTTTGCTCTTATTGAGCTTCCGTACGTCGATGGTTTCCGTTCTCTTAAACCCGTCGTCGCTTTCGGAGGCAAAGATTTCCGACGGATTACGCGTTAACAATGCGAAGTTCGACTGTTTCTGAGACGGCAACCTCTCAATCGCCGCCCATAAAAGCTCCTGCGCATCCCTTGCCACTAATTCGGCATTGGACGGTCTCGAAAACGACTGATCAATCGCATTGATCTCCAATTCAAAGTACTCACTTCCATTAGAAGCGGCCATTAAAGAAAACACAGATTCAAATCTTCTGGCGTTCGCTCTCCGGTTATCGCTGTTTGAGACCTCAAGCGCAGCACCGGAGGCAGAAGACGGACGGAGATTGGCTTACAGATCAAGTTAACGCTATTTATTTGCGAATGGAAGAGACGAAGTGACGGACAATGAGTTCGTTGCCGCGAATTGAGTAGAACCTGAAATTACGAAACTACCCCTTTCTGGAAATCTGTTGCGTTGTCATCTTTCCAGCTATTGACACGTGTATTACAGTAAAACCAACAAATTTCTCCTTTCCCGTCCTTACAGGCAGAAGTTTTTATTTATGCTCATAAAATAAATTAATAACAAAAAAAAAAAAAAAAAAAAAAAAAAAAAAAAAAAAAAAAAAAAAAAAAAAAAAAAAAAAAAAAAAACTAATATTTTCCATTTTTTAAAACGTGTTACAATTATAAAGTCAAAATCAAATGCATGCTCTACAAAATTTTATGACTAGGTTTTCTCGACGATGAATGTGCATTTTTCCCGATGAGTACAAACGGGGGCGGGAAAAAGTGATAAAAATCCCTGTAACAGCTCAAACATACCATTAGCTTTGACCCGTTACGTATCAAGTCACTCTCGTAGTTTTAAAACACGTGTGCTAGGGAGAGATTTCTGTTCCCCTCTCCAACCGATACGTCTGTGAGAGAGAGGTTTTTGTTCTCATTGTCAACTGATATGAGATCTCATAATCCACTTTCCTTGAAGTATAACATCCTCGTTGGCATACTATCTAATGACAAGCTTTGGTACTATTTGTAACCGCCCAAAAAATTGTATTCTTAGACGGTCCACACAGCTTTTAAGACAATTTGCTTTCAAAAAAAAATCTCATTAGAGTATAGGCATATGGGTTAAAGTACTAGTAAATTATTTTCATGCTACTATTTAATTTGTATGGTAATTGAATATCTAAAATCATTATTAATTAAAAAAAATGGCAGTGTGGGACCGTTTTTGGATTTATTTTGGAAGACTTTAAAATATCTTAATTAACTTTTGGTCAATTACATGAAAATTTCACGAGTAATTTTGGAGAGTAATTTATATATATATTCTATTATTTCACTTTAATTCTCTAAAAAATTATGTGAAATTAAAAAAAAAAAAAACTTCTAATTTTCTTTTAAAATTATGGAATAAAAAATAATTATGACGATGAAATCCACCGACTAATTAGGCCAATCCCACACCGACTAATTAGGCCAATCACATAAAATTTAAAAAAGATAATAAATAATAATAACCCATAAGCCATAATTTATTTATTTATTTATTTCTAAGAAAAGATAAATTTGTATGGAGATTGGGTTGCTACCATACCCAATAATAAGTCACAAAAAAGAAAAGAAATAAGTAAATGATTTTTTAAATTTTCTTTTAATTTGGAGGAATTTAATGAGAAGCATTGCATGTTAACGTATTTATAACTATCGATGATTTCTATGAACAAAATGACATCTATTTAATTTACACCACAAAAAATCTAAGCACGATTAAATCTGATTAATTTTATCCGAGGTTGGAAATATAAATTATAGTTTTCACGGTCATTTACGTTTCTGCCCTCACTCCGCCTTCCCATGTATATATTTGGAAAAGAGTAGAAAAGGTATGAATTTTGAAAATTTCTAAGCGATTACGTATTCAGTCACGTAACAATAATTTCCTTGAAAAGGGAAAAATATATAAAAAAAAAAAAAGGGAGAAAATCGAGGGGTATTATTGGAAAGTAACAATGTATGTAAGCTTCATTTAAGAGACGTACGTGGTCACATGCACGCAAGAACCCATCTGTCAAACAAGTAACCTCTGAAACAAAGCTTCCATCTATGTATATATTATTAAAACTATTTCCTAAGATCGTTATTTATACATACACATATTGATTGTAATGAAAATTTCCTTAATTTTATTTATAGTCGAAGGGTCGGGTCGCATGAATGGAGGGTCGAGGCAAAGAATACAGATGCGCAAACGCTCGAGTAACAGCTTGTGTTCAAAAGTGATAATTGTTGTGTTCAAAACGGTGTTAATAAGAAACCAATGAGGGCTTTTGTTTGAAAATATGTGTCCCGGTTGTTACAAACATACTATTCCTGATCAGTTTCGTTGTATTGTCACCCTTTTCCAAGGAAGAAGCAAAATTACACACAAACTTATTTTTAATATTGTTTCAAGGATTTGAACTTCAAATTTACTTATATTAACTCAGATTACTACTCATAGAATATTCTTTTGGCACCCAAATCTAAAAAGTCGCACGAGTTGACCCGAACCCTTGCAAATATAGATAGACGTAAAGACGGGAACTCAAACACGATACGATCCCCAAATTACTCAAAATTAAAGGTTAATACTATTTTTTTAAAAGAAAAAAAGAAGATAAATAGATGAACACACACACAGCTTAGAAATTATATTACCAACACAAAAAAGGATGGCTTTAAGATGCATACAAATATGAATCAGCCTCCAAAATGCAGCCAAAAAGTGAGCACATCAAGCAGTAAATTACCAGCAATATGCATTGGTGATTCAAAATAAACCTAAACCTAAAATTTTCTATGAACTTAGGGGCTATGGTGACTAATTTTGAGTTAATCTTACCAAGGGGCTATGGTGATTCAAACTAAACCTAGAACATTCTATGAACTTAGGGGATAAATAAGGTTGTAGAACTCTAAATGGAGAGGGGGGTTAGTTAAATTAACGTTTCATTTTGCGAGGAGTGTTCCTCATTTTAGTTGCAGATTTCGTTGACTTTAAGTTTTTACCTTTCAGGGTCGGTGTGAACTTATCGACATCGGAATCATCGTCATCACTTCCATCATTTTTCGACTTGTGCTTGCGTTTCTTCTCTGTTCCGGTGCAAATAACAATTTTCCTTTCGTCCTTCTGCTCTGTTGGTTCATGGTCATCCTTTGGCCTCCAAATGAAAAGGGATCTGAGAGAGCAAGCACAACAAAAATGCTAATAGCATTAATGGATAAACTTGTAGGGGAAGAGTAATCTCTCGACAACAAGTGAGAATTGAATAGTTGAAGTATAGAAGATTTCTTATAGACAGCTTAATCTATTAAAATTTGGAGAGTTCCAAAGCCAACTATCATGATAACATTCTGGGAAGAGTGTGTGTATGTGTATATATATTATATATATAGAAATGAATTCATGTCAAACCTTGAACTCCCAGACGCCAAAACATCATCCCGTGGATGTAGCTTGTTCACTGGACTAATTGTGGTTATGTTCAGATCCATTACCTCAGCGACTAATTGCCCCGTGCTGACGTCAATAAAATCGATGGGATGCAAGGCAATTCCATTATAGTTTTCACTTATGTAGCGACCGATAACCGCAAGCGATTCAGATGGGTCCTGCATTGCATATCAAATTGAAATTCCCTAAGGAACAGCAAGGGGGAAGGATATATATATATATATATATATATATATATATATATATATATATATATATATAGAGAGAGAGAGAGNAGAGAGAGAGAGAGAGAGAGAGAGAGAGAGAGAGAGAGAGAGAGAGAGAGAGAGAGAGAGAGAGAGAGAGAGAGAGAGAGAGAGAGAGAGAGAGAGAGAGAGAGAGAGAGAGAGAGAGAGAGAGAGAGAGAGAGAGAGAGAGAGAGAGAGAGAGAGAGAGAGAGAGAGAGAGAGAGAGAGAGAGAGAGAGAGAGAGAGAGAGAGAGAGAGAGAGAGAGAGAGAGAGAGAGAGAGAGAGAGAGAGAGAGAGAGAGAGAGAGAGAGAGAGAGAGAGAGAGAGAGAGAGAGAGAGAGAGAGAGAGAGAGAGAGAGAGAGAGAGAGAGAGAGAGAGAGAGAGAGAGAGAGAGAGAGAGAGAGAGAGAGAGAGAGAGAGAGAGAGAGAGAGAGAGAGAGAGAGAGAGAGAGAGAGAGAGAACAAATATCAACATATATATAAGTTGATGCGAGATTATATCACCTTTGGATCCCATTCTGCTCGAAAAGGAGTCAAATGTCGGTTAAAATCATGACTGTGCACAATTTCTCGACTAGGTGAATCCAAGTTGCCAAATATAGAGTCCCATACACGAATGCGGTTATCCTGAGCCGTTGTAAGAATTTTGCAACCGGAGATGGGAGAAAAATAAGCAGAATTTACAACACGTCTGTGTGCTAGATCATGCAATGAAGAACCAGCTACTAATTGGCGAATGTCCCATATTCGAGCCTGATATCCAGAAGCTTTTTGTGGTTAGCATGATGGACAGTAACATGCAATCAAATATTGGAAATCTTTGAGCCTGATATCCATAAATTTTTAATGGAAATATGAAAATGTAGTATTTGTAAGCAAATGATAAAAAAAAAACTGCATGTCATTTGTTGCTTATCATATATGTTCTTATTAAAGGAACTCTATCCATCACACATGCACAATTACGGTGGAACAGAACAAAAGATTTAAACAAATAATACAAACGATCAAATTATCTTACAAAATGATCATTTCCACAACTCAAGAGAAGATCAGGTTGAAGAGGATTAGAGTGCAGTCCAACAACTTTGCTACCCTTCTTATGGATCAAAACAGCCTGCCCAGATTTGTTGTTTGACCTTGTATCCACCCTAAGTGTATCATGTCTCATAAGCAACTACGTTTTAAAAAGAAAAAGAAGAAAGATGCATCTTTGATCATTCAAACAGAAAAAGGAAAGAAATCACTTACAAGTATAGAAAACCAAAATTGTCAGCGACAAACACAGCGTGCTTCTCTGGGTTGATATCCATGCCATATAGCATCCTCCAATTATTAGGGCCCTATAGAAGACAACACTAAAATTACAGCTATAATACAATCATGATTACACACCCCTGCAGTCATTCTAACTGATATTCCCATCCCCCAGGAGTTTATATATAGATGTTTGGAATTCGAAATGATGTACTGTCACACTTGGGGGAGTGCTTGTAAAATATGAATACTGAATTCCACGAGGTATTTCTCTAGAAGACCTTTATTTCTAACCTTACAGAGGAAGAAGCGATCTAAAAGGAAAATTTGATCGAGGCAATATGGAAAGGAAAAAAAGGGTTATAAAGACCTGCCAACCATCAGGGTTGAGGTTCATTAATGAAGAAGAAATTCCAGTCTCCATATCTGTGCAACTAATGGTTCCATCAGAAGATGCTGCATATATCATACCGTCATTTGTAGGACTGAACCTGAAATAATTTGGGTGTCATGTTTCCATTAAAAATTGAGTGCGGTTTACATGATATAACTTAACTCCAGTAAAGCAATTTCCAATGAGCAAGAAAATGAGATAAAAATCAGAAACTACGTGAGAAGATTATTACCTCATGTTATTTACGATACAAGAATGTATATTTCCATAGACTACCTTCTCGTGCACTTTATCATAATCCCAAACTCCAACTTGTCCTTTCTGAGGTAATATATAAGACAAGGAAAATGGAAAGAAAGGAAAAAAAAATGAGAATCAGGTTTCTACTCGGAGGTTATCGAAAAGGCTAACAAATGAACAGAAACTGGGCTATTTAGTAAACCAGTATAGATCAAATTCACCTTGTCTCCAGATAAAAGAAGCCGGTTGTTTGTAGGATGGAACTCCAGGCACGTTACACGTCTACTATGGTACCTTATAACTGCACAGTTCACTTGATCTGGGATCACATATGCTGGTTTGATCTACAAGATACCATAAACCAGTCAAACTGACAGAAATTAGCCCGTGATTTCGAAATACAGCTGTATAACAACCATACACATATAGCATTCAACAAACAAGTAATAAGAAGGCTATCAAAGTCCTGCACACCTGATCATCTAAAGGGGACTGGTTTTTTTTTTCACCTGATAATGTTAAGTCTTCATGCCAGCATAAGGGCACTTTCACTGAACGACTACTTGGCCTTATAATAGTTGGACGCAGAGAAGTTTAAAAATTTGTGACTACAATCATTTTTCCATTACCATTACAACCAATCCAATAGGAAAAGGTTCTTTGGCATTCTGACCGATTACTCCGATTAGTTGAAACATTGTTCCTTACAAATATATTCCATCTACCACTGATAACCAGCATATAGAAAAGCTAAATGTTTCATAAAAGTAAATAATAACAATAGGAACTTTGTAATTTATACAGCATAAAAATTAGGAGAATTCCATGTTTTGAATCTCATAATAAAAATGCATGACCTACAATAATCCAATTTGATAAGCAAAAAAGGAGAGAGGCACCTCGCAGCTAAGAGTTTGATAGCTTAGAGCTGATGAATTACATTAAAAATAAAAATAAAAAAACTATTCCCAGGAATCAAAACTGAAAGAAGAAAATAAATATTACCAAGAAAAGTAGAAACGGACTTACAGGAGGAATATGCGGCTTAAACTGCCGCTCAAAGACATATAAAAGTGCATTACGAGTATTCTTATGGGATGCTGGAATGACACCAAACTCAGTAGCCACCCGATGCGGGCATGACATTGTTGTATGCCCTTCAATTAGTTGATAAATCACAAGTAATAGAAGACCCCAAGTCAGAAAATACCATAAAGATGGGATAAATAAAACATTAAGCATGACAAAATGCAGAAGACCGTACAAAATTATGTTAACCCCCATATAAGAAGGCAGTTCATCTTAGATGAGAACTAAATAAATTTCATAGTTTTCTTCCAAAAATTTCCCTCTCGATTTTCTACATAAAGCTCCTTGTCATCCTCATTAAAAATTCTAACGCCGAGCTTTCCCACATTATAGCATCTAACGCAAGTTAATGTTGCAACGGCTTGCAGACAATGTATAAAATTCTAGCAGTTCAAATGTATAATTGACGAATCCAATCCGCTAAAACTCTGTTTGAGGAACACACTTCTCGAAAATCATCCAAATTTAAAAAATCAACCGATTGTTGCATTCGGTTCAGAATCGGAAATCCCAGCAGGCGAAGTGAAACAAGAAACTAAACGTAAAAGAAACAGAAATTTAAGCGCTCACCAGGCATCTTGCAGAGAAAACATGGTTTCATAGGGCAATCTATGTACGTAGCCCCTTTAAACCCCGCTTCATGACCAGTCCTTTTACAAACCTAAAGAATCAACCATAATGTTATTATTTTTTAAAATCCCCCGCCAATAACACGAATGATCAAAGCCTTCACCAGTGATCGACAGAAACGAACAGAAAAACCTCGAATCGAACACTTACTTTGCACACTTTCTTGAGACTGATAGTAATGGGGGCTTTTCCCTTATTGTTGGACTCCTCTTCAATCCTTTGGCCATCATTTTCGGAATCTTTACCATTCTCCCCTTCATCTTCGTCTTCGTCGTGAAGAGGTTCTTCATCGTCGTCTTCTTCCGACGAACTCTGCTCGGAGTCGGTGTCCTTCTCGATTATCACCCTGGGAAATGAGAAACTTCTCGTCGTCGGAGCCATTTTCAGGGTTTTTCGACATCTAGTCTCGGGGATGCGGCTATAAGCGCCATTGCAGTATTCAATGGTGGCGGGAGAATACGTGGCGCTCAACCGGCCGCTTGGCCTTCCCCTGCCCATGCGTGAATCTCTCTAGAATACGGCGTCGTTTAAAGATCTATTTTCTTTTAGAAAAAAAAAAAAAAAAAAAAANTTTTTTTTTTAAAAAAAAAAAAAAAAAAAAAAAAATCAACTTTTACCCTTAAACAAATTATTACGACAAGATAATAACTTTTTACCGTTTTTGTTTATTTTTTCTTTACACTAAAAAAGAAACATATTATTTTATGTTATGTCCCAAACTACCCTTAAAGTTTCTTTAATGGGGAATAGAAATTATTTAAAGAAACATTTGGGTGATGTCATATGCATATAATGACACGTGGCGGTGTAGTGACACGTCTCAATGCAGACAAAATAAATATCTCCCATATTTTCTAAAAAAAAAAAGAAAATTCCTTATTAATCCATAAAGAATTATGTGATAATTTTATTTACCATATTTTATTAGATAAATAATTTTATTTAATTAATTTTGAGTGGTTGAAATATTGATGATTATTTATTTAATAAAATATTATGACTGATTCAAATTATTGAATGTAATTTTCTTATTTAATTAATGCAATTTCACGCTTTGATAATTATTTGATTATGAAAGGTTAATAATTGAATCTAAATGAATGGTCATTGAAATTCACCCAATACCAGCCCAACCAATGGAAGGGCATCACCGGTATTTTACATCGAGTCATTTTCCAGTCCTGAAAGGGCAATATGGTCAAATAAAGGTAATTTGTGGTTCAATTTTTTCAAACAAAAAATAAAAATTCGTTAATTTTAAAAAGTCACGTCGTATAATTTTTTTTAATGAAATTTTATTTTTAATATTCGAATTTTAAGTAAAAAACAATTATAATTATTTTCGAATAATATAACAAATACCAAAAAAAACACCTAGAAAGTTCTTTTTTTCTTTTTTTTTTCTTTCTTAATTTTAATTTTTTTTTCCTTTTAATTTGTTTTTTTCTTAAGAACACCTAGAAAGTTCTATTCCTTAATAAAAACATTTGAGTTCGCTATCAGCTTGTAAGTAGAAAGTAATTATTGATAAATTTGAGAAGATCTTAAACGGCGTGCAGAGTCAACTAAAAGACTCGATCGAGTCGTTCTCTTGACTACATGGAGAGATGGCTAAAAGCTCGGGCATAAGCATAATTCAGTCTAGCCACTCATAAAAAATCAAGTCAACTATCGCAATCACTGTAAATTTTAGACCGTTCGACTCGAAATCAACCAATACTATTAAGCAGCAGCCTAACTATAGAGATAGAGTTAACGGTTAAGATATTTTTCACACAGAGTATATGATCCTGATCTCAAGACAATTAAATTTGAACTCGGTGTAGGTATATACGATATTCCACGAGTGCAAATGTCCAAATAAACTCTAATCATCGACGCTAAACTCACGCGACATACAAACCACAAGGTAAGTCGTTGAAAAAATACCAAAAAAAGAAAAAACATCAAAATTATAAGATCAAAATTTAAAGAGGAACTGAAAATGACAAATGTGGTTTCATTATCACAAGCAATAGACACTCCAAAGAGTATAAGAACCAGAAGCCTCTCATGGCAGATGTCCGCACCCGAACTCCACTTCTAATTATACAAACAAAAATAGAAAAATAAATAAATAATTATATATATATATATATATATATATATATATATATATATATATATATATATATATATATATATATATATACCGGACTAAATTAAACAGTTAATTATTCAATTTACATATTAAAATCTATAGACTTACTTAATTGAAAATTAAGAACATAAAATTTAATTTAATTTTCAAAATATTAATTATTAAGAATTAAAAACAAATTAGAATAAAATTATATAAATATTGACATTTTTGTATTATTATAAATAATAGACAATGATGTTGTTGAATTATTTTTTTTTTAATTTATTGTTCGATCATAAATCAGCGTTCTATATTAATTGCGGATTTGATGAGAGAACGGTTAATTAATAAATAAAATCGAAAAATCAAAAGCAAATTGGTAAGATTCTCACGGAACGACATCACAGTCTCCACTTGTGGTGTCGTTTTAATTGTCTCTATCTACAGACCTAATTGATTTAAGCGCCCATAGCCGATTCGAACCTGCGCAAGTTTTTGGAACTCACAATTCCTCTCTTCTTCTTCTAATTCCGGCAATGTTTTCCGTCCGCTTCCCCCTCCCGATCGACAACCTTATACCGCCGCCTAAATTCGTTTTCGGTTGCGCTTTTCCAAAGCCCTATGTCTCCGACCGTCGCCGCTTCTCCAATCTCCGACTGAGAGCGGCGGATGTAGCCGCGCCGACTGCGGAGGAAGCGGCGTTGCCTGCGGGCCTGCAGAAGGAGTTCCTGCCGAGACACGTGGCGGTGATTATGGACGGAAATGTGCGGTGGGCAAGGCGGATGAAGTTGCCGGACTCGAAAGGGCACGACGCCGGCGTACGGTCGTTGAGGGAGATGGTTGACCTATGTTTGGAATTGGATATTCCTGTACTCACCGTTTTTGCTTTCTCTTATGATAACTGGCTTCGCTCTAAGGTCCGTTTTCCCTTTTATTTTATTTTAAATCTTATTTTAGTCCGTATAATCTTTATTAAATTATAAATTAAATTAAATATTTTAGGATAATTTTTAAAATTACAAATTTTATTTGAGTTTTTGAATTACTAGAGATACAAATTTAAAAATTTATAATTTTTTTATGCATAAAATTTAAATTTATATCTAATTTATCAATTAAATTTTATAATTTTAAATAAATTTCATAAATTTATTACATAAAATTAAATTTTCTTGAATTTGGTTTTATTTTATGGATTTTTATCTCTAAAATTTAGAAATAATCAAAATGTCTAATAAATCTTTAAATTTTAAAAAATATTCGATAAAATATCAATTTATTTCCTCCATTAAATAATTATTTTCTTAAAAAAAATTACCAATATATAAAATGTAAAACATTTTTTTAATTATTATTATTATATAAATTAATTATGTCTTTTTTGTCGGGGAACAGCGGGAGGTCGACTTTTTGATGTTTTTATTCGAAAGAGTTTTGAAGTCTGAGATGGAAAAATCTTCGCGGTAAATTCTACGCTCCTCTCCCTCCAATTTTTCTATTAATATTTTAATTAAATTAATTAGTTAATTAACCAACTAATTAATTGCGTTAATTAAATTAATAACAGGAAGGGAATTAGGTTATCGGTGATTGGGGATTTATCGCTGCTTCCCAAATCCCTACAGAAGCTAATAAACACGGCGGTGGAAGAAACAAAATCCAACACCAAACTCCAACTCATCGTGGCGGCGAGTTACAGCGGAAGATACGACGTCGTTCAAGCCTGCAGAAGCCTCGCCCGGAAAGTGAAGAACGACGAGATCCAAGTGGAAGACATCGACGACAGCCTGATCGAACAGGAACTGGAAACGAAATGCACGGCGGTTCCTCACCCCGATCTCCTCATCAGAACCAGCGGCGAACTCCGAATCAGCAACTTCCTGCTCTGGCAATCGGCGTACACCGAATTCTTCTTCACCGAGACGCTCTGGCCGGATTTCCGGAAACAGGATTTCGTGGAGGCTCTGGTTTCGTATCAGACCAGGCAGCGGCGCTACGGCGGAAGGCAGTCTTGATTGATTTCGTCTCCTCCGTTTTCCCGGAAACACTGGATCAAATAAATACTCTTTTACTGTACACATCAATTGGTTAATAGAAATATATATATATATATATATATATATATATATATATATATATATATATATATATATATATATATATATATATATATATATATATATATAATGTTAACGACACCATAGGAAATGAAAGCAGAGATGTAATTTCTAATTTTTATACGTATTAATAATAATTTCGGTGTTATATTAAAGTTTTATTATATATATATATATATATTTTTTGGAGAAATTATTAATGTATTTTGGAAAACAATAAAATTATTTTAATAATTTAAAGTGTGAATTATTTGACATTTTTTTAATATTCGCAAATTTATTACACAAAAATTTAAAACTAAAAATTATCGTTTTGGTTATATTTTTGGTGATTTAAAAAATTATAATATTAGTAATTTATTAAATATATAGAAAAATATCTCTGAATTTTATATTTCTTTTTCAATATTTATAAATTTTTAAAAAGTTTAAAAATGCTCTTATTTTTTTTTTTTTAAATATATTTGGAAATTGAAAATTTCTTAATTATCTTTAATTTTTTTAAATTTTTTAATATATATATATTTTTTTAGTTTAAAATATAATAATAATAAGAAAAAAATTAGAAAGTTCCTAACCGGCGGATACGGAGAATAGCCTGCGCGCGCTTCGCCCTAGTTCGACTTCGATCCCCTTTCGGGAAGAAAACCCTTCGGCGCTCGTCTCTCTGCCCAAGGGAAACTAGAGAGGATCTTGATTTTGATTTTGATTTCGGTTTCGAAGTGGGCTATGAATCCTCTAACCCTAGTCAAACGCATCCAGAAAATCAATTCTCAGGAGGCCTCGCTTGGGATTTCTGAGGAAGCCTCATGGCACGCCAAATACAAGGATTCCGCCTACGTTTTCGTTGGAGGCATTCCTTACGATCTCACTGAGGGTGATCTCCTCGCCGTCTTCGCCCAGTAAGTTCATAAGTTTATCTGTTTTCTCCTCATCAGCGTTCTCATTGTGTTCTTCTGTGGCTCTCTGTTCTGATTGGGTAGTTTACTAAGTGGAACATTGAGCTTCTATGCTGGATCTGCGTGTTCGACAATGAAATGATTTATTCTCTCCCTTAGGTGTGGTCTCGTAGTTCGAGTAGCTTCTGAAATGAAATTTCCGAGGTTTTGCATAACTAGAGGATTTTTGTTAGAGAGGGAGTTGATGTTTCAAGTTGTGTAGCTTATGTGTGACCGAATACACTAATTGAGCTCGTTCTTGCTAGTCCATTAGGTTTTGTTGTTCCTTGCTTGAGAAAAAGTTTCTCCCTCCCTCGCCTCCCATCTCTCTGAAGGATCAGGCAAGTTTTTTTTAGCTACTTTGCTGAATTCATCTTCCTTGTGATCTCGAAGGGGCAACCATATGACAAGATGTTTGGAGATACCGTTAGAAAGTGCAAACCTCCTCGATGGTATGATATTGTCCACTTTGAGCATAAGCTCTCATGGCTTTGCTTTTGGTTTTTTTAAAAGGCCTTGTACCAATGGAGATAGTGTTCCATACTTATTAAACCCATGATCTTTCTCTTGATTAGCCAATGTGGGACTACTTCGTTCAATATTTTACAACAATCTTCCCCTTAGACAAAGTACACCATAGAGTCTCTTTTGAGGCCTATAGAGCCCTTGAACAGCCTCCCCTTAATCGAGGTTCGACCCCTTTCTCTAGAGCCCTCGAACAAAGTACACCCTTTGTTCGACACTTGAATCACTTTTGACTACACCTTTGAGGCTCACAACTTCTTTGCTTGACACTTGAGGATTCTATTGACATGGCTAAGTTAAGGGTATGACTCTGATACCATGTTAGAAATCACGAACCTCCACAATGGTATGATATTGTTCACTTGAAGCATAAGCTCTCATGACTTTTCCTTGGGTTTTTCCAAAAGGTCTCATGCCAATGGAGATAGTGTTCGTTACTTATAAACCTATGATCTTCCTCTTAATTAACCCATGTCTCAATCAGAAGCTTAGTTGCACAAAACCATTCTCTTCTCCCGGAGCTAGCCTTGTAGTGCGTAAAGCCTCTCGAAGATTAGTGGGGTAGGTTGCAAGCATAATACAAGAAGGGCTCTTCGGTATCTTGGTAGTTGGTATATATGTGTGCGTGTGTGTATAATTACATTCCTTCCAATCAATAAAAGAAACATCTTCATCTTCCTTGCCCTTTCAATGTTTAGCTGCCTGTAAATGCATTTTTAACGTAGCATATTAGCTGTGGATTATTTTTTTTTCATCTGAATATTGAAATGTACTTGGACGAACAGGTATGGAGAGATTGTTGATGTTAATCTTGTCAGAGACAAGGGTACAGGAAAGTCGAAAGGCTTTGCCTTTGTTGCATATGAAGATCAGAGAAGTACAATCCTTGCTGTAGGTTGTCTTCGGATCCTTGCTCTAGATAGTTCATCGTTATATGGGAATGAATGCAGATTTCTAATTAATGGTGTTTGTCCCTTTCAGATAATTTGAATGGTGCACAGATTCTAGGTCGAATCATTAGGGTTGATCATGTGACTAAATATAAAAAGAAGGAAGAAGAAGATGAAGAAACCGAACAAAAGAAGAGGGAAGCTCGCGGTGTTTGTCGTGCATTCCAAAGGGGTGAATGTACCCGTGGAGCTGGGTGCAAATTCTCTCATGATGAACAGGTACGTGTGAGACTTCCTATTGTGTAAACTTACTCTAGAAAGTGTAAAAGAGGATTTAATGCCTGACAGTTGGTTAGTGGGGAGGAGGGATGGTGCCATGTATAGAAATGGAATTGGTTTTGTAGGGGAAGTGTGAGATCCCACATCGGTTGGAGAGGAGAACGAATAATTCCTTATAAGGGTGTGGAAACTTCTCCCTAGCAGATGCGTTTTAAAACCGTGTGGCTGACGACGATACGTAATAGACTAAAACGGACAATATCTACTAACGGTAGGCTTCGGCTGTTATAGGAAGTCAGTTAGTTTCACGGGATTTTAATTTACCTTTAATGTTACTAGCTGGCTGTCCCTGAGTGAAAGAACTTTTGACATACTATTTTCTTTACCATGCTTGGCTTAGAGTTTTAGCTTCACTTTAGAAATTTAATGCATCAAGTTTTTTATTATTCAGAGAGCTGCGAACACGGGCTGGGGGGCGGCAGAAGATGCAAGTTCAAAATGGGGACATGACAAGTTCGATGATAAAAAAGATCGTGATAGAGAATTGCGTGCGAAAGGAAGGAAAAATAGCGACGACTTTGAAAGGAATCCTAGGGAAATAAGTGGGAGGGCGAGGCAGGAAAGTAAACTGAAAGGCTGGGATGATGGTAAAGAATCCGAGCTCAAGTCGAGAGAGAATCATGGCAGGAAAGATGAGAAGAGATTGAGCAGACACGATCCTGATAACAATCGTGAACTGAAGTCGGGAGATGATCATTATAAGAGGGAAGAGAAGAGATCTAGAAGGAACCATGATGATAGTGAGAAAGAAGAGAAGAGATTGAGAAGACATGGTGATGATGATGATAAGACGAAGTTAGAAGATGAACACCATAAGGAAGAAAGGAGATCGAGAAGGAACCAAGACGACGAACTCCCACCGCATTCGAGAAGAGACTACAATACAAGGGAAGAAGATAAGTCAAAAAGGCACGGTGACGAAGAGTTTCAGAAAAAGCCGAGGGAAGACGAAGATGATAGAAGGGAAAGAGATAAATCGACAAGACATCGCTCAGAATCACATAGGCGGGAAAATCCAGATGAGAAGAGGGATTCTCGATCCTCTTATGGTCGGGATCATTCTCATAGAGAAAGAAACGAAGATCGTCATAGATAAGCACCGCAACAAATCGTTACAGTTAGTCCTGTCTTGTTAAACACAAATCGGTTTTCTTCCGATGGGCTGTTCGGTTTCCTTGTATTGTAATAGGAACTCTTTTTTGTTACCTCACTAGCTTGAAACTAAGCTTTATTTGTCTATCAAACGGCTATGATCAGAGAGTGAAGTTCTTTGGGCTGTTGGAATCTTAGCCTTTTGTAACGATTATGCGCATTATTTAAGTATGGGATCACAGATATGGTTGGCTGTAGAATATATGGATAATTTCATTTCAGTTGTAAGAATATTCTTCCAAAGTTATTGATAGCCATTCAGGGTGCCAAATGCAATGTGGATGGCGTCGCATCCTTTTGGTATAATCTTGAGATATATCTTTAGATTGAATGTTACTATCTATCTGCCATGAAACTGTAATTAAAATTCAATCCAAAATGCTGAGACATAGTTCATTGATTATATAAATTAAAATGCATTGTCATTAATAGTTTCGTTAATGTCTATTTTCATTACTAAAAAGTATGAATATGAGTTCGATTGCTACAACAAATTCAAGTGTTAACAAAATAAAAATGATGTGAATATCGTCGCAGTTAATGGAACCTAAATTAAAATTTATAATGCTTTGTTCTTATCTTGCGAAAAGAAGATAGATTAGGGCTTTGATACCTTGCATTTAGCCAGCAGATGATTCATTTTGTCCATTTTGCACGATCAATTGAGCGAAATTCAAGGCCAAATCTGGTTTCTTGATTGGATATTTCACATTCTATATTTACAATAATCGGTTTCCAGTGGCAAGCGATTCATCATCTTCATCACGGCTTGCCCGACGGAATTATTGACGTTGCTAGGATTCGATAACAATGGTGTCAATGCCATAGCTGCATAATTTATTACGTTAAGAAGTAATTCGTAAATCCTAGTGTCCTATGCGAGAAGTGTACTGTTGAGGATGCCAAATGATTTCTCGATTGATCCTGGAGGCTGGAACTCCATGTGAGCATGCCCTAACTGTAAGGAAGATCGAATCGGTTTACAGGTTTCTCCAGACTGATATAGGTTGATTTGGAAGAAACAATTCAGAAAAAAACAGATTGATAAATAAAAATCGTGAGGGAAAAAGAATGATCTGAGAAAAAACGTCATCAATCAGTATACTAAATCAGAATTTAAACACACTACGGTAATTGGAGATCAAATACAGAAGAAAAAAACGAGCAAGGATGATCGTCTGCCTGATAGAAGTTTTGGAACCAAGGAGAAAACGAAGTAGAGGAGATTCAGTTCGATTCACATCATCACCATAATTTTAACAACATGAAAGAAGGAAACAGAGATCGATAGTACCAATTCGACAAACGGTATTCATCCCGCAACCATCCGAGACTAAATCTCGCCTCGTTACTGTACATAGAGAAAGTGAAGGACGAAGAAAAGTCTTCAACATCGGAATCATCGCCTATTATCGTAATCAACGACTTCAGATTCGGTAACCGATCGAGAATTCTGAACTATTGAGCGACCGATCGAATTGATCCACTCCTCCTTTTCGCGCTCCGACTCAGCGATGAAGTACATAGTGTCATGACCGGTGGTGGAGAGCTCGAAGGCGCAGGGCTTATGGAGGATATCCTCGGCGCCCTTGACGGTGAGGCAGGTGTTGACAGGGATGACGCCGCGTGGAATGGAGGCACGAGTAACGATAGAGTCCTTAAACCAGAAGAGTTTACCTTGTTTCAGAACGAACCATCGGCGACGCCAGGTTTTGAGATATTCGCCCTGCTTGTTGAGCCAGCCGGCGCGCTCGGGGCTGGTCCAGAATTCAACGCCTTTGTAATCATCCGGACTCGGATCTTGGCCAGTCGCCGCTCGCCACAGGCTCTCCATCCTACCGGAGATCGTCGGCCGCGACGGAATCGGAGGGAGAAGGGGAGAGAGACAGAGAAATGTTTGTATTGATTTTCTATGCCTCTAGGGCGGATGTGGTTGCGAATGGGATCTAGTAGTGCGAGACTCTTGCTTCTATTTATGTAATATATATATATATATATATATATATATATATATATATTCCAATTTTTTACGTATTTATTATAGAAATTAGCTGTCAGTATTGACTTATTGACTACCGTAAACGGTGTCGTTTTAAGGCGAACTCACCCTCTTAACAAAAACCAGGCTGTATTGCTTTGTTTTCTTCTTAATAATAAAACAAAGCTGTTGCGTTGTTTCAAGCGTGAAATTTCCTGATTTAAAATAAAACAATTTACTCATTTTTCAATTAAAAAAATATTTTCTACTAATAATTAGTGGGACTATGGAACAATATATATTTATTTTAATTTAAAAAATAATAATGATTAATATTACAATTTTAATTTCAGGAAAAAAAATCTTCAGAAATTTAAAAGTTTAAGAATAGTGGAAGAAATGTGATTAAGGGAGGAAGAAACAAGTATTATTCTAGAGGATTGTTGGGAGTCACGATAGCTAAATCATGGGTTTATAAGTAAAGGAATACATCTCCTGGTATGAAACCTTTCGAAAACGCCTAAAACAAAATCATGAAAGCTTATATTCAAAAGTGGAGAATATCATACCAATTATGGAAAGTCGTGACTTCTTCCATATTCAATTAAAGTACATTTATAATGTATATATTTATAAATTAAAAAGAAGAAAACTTGTAATAACAACATTGAATTAAATCAACAAATTATTTAGTTTCTTTTAATGAAATACAAATGGACTAGCTTTTCATGTGCTTCTCCAACTGGTTCCCCCAACCTTTTTCAGACCCTGATGTATGGATGGCATCTATAATAAGAATGAATGAAAAGGCAGAATTCCTTGTCTCAGCTCATACGAATGTAAAGGAATACTTTGGTATTATGAACTTAAACTCTTTTTCTAATGTTTCATAATTCAGTTTATACCTTGAGTGGTGAGAAAAAGCCAGAAACTAAGGTGTTCATCAGCACCAACCAATCTATACTCCATATCGAGACGCCTAATTTACTGCAAGGCAATTTCGAAAGAACCGTATTCCCTGATTCAAATACACAACCATCTCGCTTAACCACTAAAGGAAGACAATAATAAAGTTGAGAATGATCAAAGGCAACAAAAAAAACGAGTCTAGCATGTACCTGTAATGCGAACATGACATCTGCTTCGTCGACTTTCAGCAACACTCGCCTCGTCTTATCGTCTCGAGACTGGCCGAGTTTGAGAAGCCCCTACGAAGTTCAATCACAAAAGGTTTGAGAAATTGAGTTCATCCCATCGCAGATAAGAGTGTCGAGTTCAATGAGTGTCGGTTTGGGCCACTACCTGGTCGTTTAGCACTGTGAACATGTTTGAAAGTTCTAAGGTTCCCACTGGCGGAATTAGTGTTGATTTGCAGATGTCTACGTATGATTTGTTTACCTGGGATTAAATGTAACAGTAAGAAACAATGTTCAATCGTTGTTTTGTCTTTAGAAAAAGTTATCTCAAGAGGAACGGAGAGAACCCACCTCTCCTATGGTTGTATCCTTCTTTCCTCCACGAACGAGTTTCACAACAGAGCATAAAATAATCTGGATACAATGTCCATAAGTTTAGAAGGAAAATATTTCAAGAACATTCAAACAATCACGTTTCACCTAATCTTTGCTACTCGATTATGATGGAAAACATGTAGTTCAATCCCAAAAAGTCAATTATTTGGTATCAGAACATTCGAGCAATCCTCTCTTTTTTTAAAAAAAAAAATACAAATGATAAATCTACAAATTTTTTAATATATTATTACTTGGCCATTTATTTAGAGATTCTGAATTATACCTGTTGATGCTGAGGAAGAGATTGTATGGTTTCCACTGCTGGTGATTTAAAAGTCTTGGATAAGGCAACAGCCATATGGTCCAACCTCACCTATAATGCAAACAGTTACCACCTTTTCTTTTACGAAAAATCTTTCAAGAGTTCAAGAAAGTATGGAATTTAGAATGGACAAATAAGATATGGAAGATTTATCGTGGCAATGACGAGTACTTACAATCTGAGACTCCCGACTTTTAACAATCTCAGGTGCTGAAGCATCACATGCTATATGGTCTTCCTCCTTAGAGGATGCTTTATGTTCCGCCTCTAACAAGTCAATGGCATTTCTGTTTAAAGAAGATTTTAATTACATATTAGTGCTACATGAATTATAGTGAAAGTTCAAACAGATGGGAACACAATAGCAAAAAATGAAATTATTTGAGAATATGATTCGAGCTTTGCAATTGTTGTACAATGATATTATGTCACCAACTCGGCGAATACTGAAAATAAAATTAAAATGTGTCGATACATCAATGTATCCGTAAATCAGAAGTAAAAATAATTTAATTGTTAATTTAATTTTAATTAATCATGAATTCTCATCTTGATGTTTGTAGGCAATGGTATAACCAAGTTTTATGACAGTGACGTTGATGAATTTAAACACACTGACCTGCAAACACAAAGAGCTTTTCTCATATCTCCAGATACAGCTGCAACTTTCTGCAATGTATGAATCAATTGAAGGATCAAACTTACATTCACATGCCATATAGATCAATAAGCAGCAAACTAATTATGAACTAGTTATGAAATAGACAGTTAATTTTAACAAAACGGAATCATAAATCAATGATAAATGGAAAATCTAACATTCACAATTGGGTTTTAAAATTTTAGTTAGTAATTTAAGCGTAGACTGCAAATCAAATAAGATGATTAGTAGACCAGAATGATCTTTTAGAAAGAACATCATTATCAGGCGGGCCCTTGTTTATGCTAGATAGATTCAACCTAAGCATCATTCTTAAGAACAAAAAATTTGAAGAAATTATAATGTTTCTAAGTTGTGAGCATGTGGGGTTTAAAAGATACATAAATTATAAGTGAACTAAACTAAACGATCCTGTTTCCTAAAAATCTAAAGATTCCAATGCAAAAATATCATCAAACGTACTCTAGCACAGAGCTCCAGAGCTTGCGGCTGAAAGACAACGAAAGGAAGCACCTACAGAGAATATTGCATAGCATATGTCAAAGAAGTATAAAGAAATATTGATTGAACAACTAAAAACAATAGAAAGTAGTGTTAAAATATGGAGAATGAACTTACAATTAACCGTTGATGAAGAATCTTGAGGATCTGTTCCTTGGAATAAGCCCTATAAGTTATGACCGGAGGTTTGCCTAGGAAGGCAATAGGCAAAATCAACGATTAGTATTATGTGTACTGCAGTTAACTACTGTATTTTTGTTAAATATGGATCAATACTATAGGACCATAAGCTAAACTGCA